CAGACCGTGTGCCAGGCAACTGTAGGCACAAGCAGTGATAAACAAAACAGCAACAATTCCTGCCCTTGTGGAGCCTTCACTTTATTAGAAAGATAGAACACCAAGACGTGTACTGTGCTAAATGCTGACACGTACTAAACAAACATTATGGAGGATGGGAGCTAAAGAGTGATGGGGGAAGGTTTCATTTTAGAAAGGGCAGTCACTGAGAAGGTCCTATTAAAGAAGGTAAGAAAATGACAACGGGGACAGCAAATGCAAAATCCCTGACCCAGGAGCATGACTGGACAGTGAGGCTCAAGCAGAGTCATGAAGAGGGACAGAAGTAGCAGGTGAGGTCAAAGAGATCATGGTGGATAGTATATGAAGAGGTAAGGACAGGTGCAGGGAGGTAGTAGACTAATTAAGAAGCATTTGCAGTAATCTAGATTGTGGGGGCAATTTCTTCGTGAGTCCCCCCAGTGCCACGGACATGTGTGAATGAATAATGACCAAGACATGCTGGATCTGTTTAGGGGATGGAGGTGTGGGCTGTGGCCAGTTTCTCAGGGGAGACAAAGGCCAGCAGCAGCCAGTTTTTCCGAGGAGAAAAGGGCCTTGAGCCCCCTCATCCCTAGCCTTTTATTGGGTTGTAGTACACAGGAATACAGGGCGGCATGGATCAAACAGTAGATAACATTTCAAAGAGACGTGAGGGCTTCAGAGTCTGAGTCAGTGTCTGTCAGGAAGAGAGTTGCAGAAACTTTGGGAGACATACTCATTTCTTCTTCGACCCTTATCATATGAATGAAAGAACTCTTAGCAGATTTCACAGGTTTATCAGCAAATCTTTGTGATGCCAGATTTTTCCCCAGGGCACGCTCTAGCAAGACAAGGAGCTGCACCTCTCCCCAACAGGCTTAAGGGGATTAGAGCCAGGAAGCCTTCTCCTAGAGGACATGGGGACTCAGGTTTTGTCAGAGCTGGGGGGTGTAGGGGGTGGGTGAGAGGCCGTTGCTCTTTGTTGCAGCCTCCCCCCAAGTCCTTCCATAAAGGGCTCCCATGTGATTGAGTCTGGCTTAGGTTGCCCCCTGCTGTAAGGGGTCTTACCCACCACTGACTTCCAACCAAGCTCTGGGGGCAGGGAGAGGAACTGAGGCAGCATTTGCTACCAGAGACAGGCTTTGTCTCCTGTGGCTGGCATTCCAAAGGTTGTCTCTCACCCTTAGCCACAAGGGGTAGAGATACAATTCCTAAAATTAGGCAGAGTGGTCTACAACACTAGGTGAGAGAGAACAGTAACTTGGACCAGGTTATGGTGATACTGCATGTAAGATATGGTGAGATTCCGAATATCTGAACATCTTTGAGGGTAAACAGACAGGATTTGCCAAAGGATCGAGTAAGGGGTGCAAAGAGAGACAGGAGTCAAGGAAGACTACAATGTTTCTGTCTTAAGCAACCAGAGAAATGGAGCTGTTCATCGTAATGGGAAACTCTGTAGGAGGAGCTTATCTGAAGTAGATGAAATATGCTAAGTGAAATAAGCAAGCCAGTGAAAGACAAATACCATATGATCTCACCTATAAGTGGAACCTAATAAAAAAAACAAACAAGCAAGCAAAATATAACCAGAGACACTGAAATAAAGAACAAACTGACAGTAACCAGAGGGGAGGTGGGAGGGTGATAATGGGGGGAAGGTGGAAGGCTTTTCAGGAATATGTATAAGGGACACATGGACAAAACCAAACGGGGGTAGGACCAAGGGTGGGAGGTGGGGATGGCTGGGTTGGGGAGAAAATGGAGACAACTGTACTTGAACAACAATAAAAAAAATTTTTTTAAAAAGATCAGTTCTACACATGTTACTTTGAGATGCTTATTAGTCAGGCAATCACTTGTTTTCAATCAAGGCATGAAGTCTGGCCTAGAGACCCCAAAGCAGATGGCATCAGCATATTGAAGAATTACTTCAAAACACCAAGCGTAGTCCTCTTTTGGGCTTTCTTGGTGATGTGCTGGGTACCTTGGGTCTGTCATCCAGCTCTTTTATCAATCAGAAATGGATTATCACAGGACTCCAACTTTGCTCATGTAATACTTTTAAGAAAGTATTATATATAGAACATTTTTTTCTAAAGCAATCGGTTTTCAACTAATCATACTCAACAAACACTCCTGACGACCTATTATGCATCAGGCACTGGGGACACGGTAGTGAACGACAGACATGGTGGTCCCCGCCTTCAGATGAATCCGTATAATGGGGGAGACAAATTCAGAACAATAATATCTATCACCTACATGATGGATTAATTACTTAATAGTCATGGCGGCACGTCCTACACAGGAGAGGCTACAGAAAGCAGGCGATGTGTAAGTGTGCTTCTCCTGGGCAGCTTCCCTGGACCCACGGCTTACTCCCACCACACCTCTCCTCCAGAATTACAGTCTCTCAGGGACCAAAGGCATCACGGAAATGATACGTTGCTTACAAAGAGATACAGCCTTTAAGGACAGTAAAGTATTCAATACCACCTTAATCTTTAACAGCCTTAAAGGAAAATACTATATCCATCTCTCTCAATGTTTATAACCTATGCAGTGAACTGTTACGATCTTTCCACATTTCGGGGATCACGGTTCATATAAAATAAAGTGTAGTCTTCACTTGACTGAAGGAAAAACTGAATGCTACACCTGAATTCTAATCTACATAGGTACTTGCGCAGAACTTTAAGATAAAAATGAGAGTCAAAATAGGTCTTCTAGTCACATCTAGTCTGAAACACACTTACACATAGTGTACACCATTATACAAAAAGAGATGGAATTTTAGTGCTGTAAAACATGTAGGGAGGATGCAACCCAGTATGACTCTCATTTGAGAGAACAGAAAACTTAATCTCAGGAAGACTACATGACCATGACTTGCCCGAAGTTGGACAGCTAGTTAGTAGCAAAGCCAAGACTTGACCAAAATCTCCCCAACACTTAATTCAGACTGCACTAGGAAAACTCTCTCTCTTTTTCTTTTAGAAAGAAAAGAAAGAATGAAATGGAGGTACTAGTAAAAGTTTTCACTTCAAAAGCCTTCTTTTGCAGGAAGTTTTATGAGCTAGAAGGAAACCCCGTGGAGGACTTCAAATACCCAGGTTATTGGTACAGAGAGACGGAATAAGAGACAATGACTACACCATGAAAAGAGGCCCTAGAAGAGTAAATACTAAAAATACTGACTTCTGTATTCCCAGTATCTAAAATAGTACCTGACATATACTGTGCATTCAAAATACACTGGTTCAATTTAATTGATATGAATTAAATTACAGACTGTGAAAGGCATATATTAACATCCTTCTGTTGATGAAAGTGAGTTACGTTGAATCTCCATGTAATGATGACAATGAGAGATCAATAACTGCATTATATCAAAGTCTTCATCTTATATGAAAGATAGAGAATCTTAAAAGCAGCAAGAGAAAAGGAGACAGTTACCTACAAAGGAGTTCCCATTAGACTATCAGCTGATTATTCAAAAGAAATCATGCATGCAAGGAGGGACTAGGAAGAAGTCTGTGAAGTCACAAAAGGCAAGGACCTACAGCCAAGATTACTCTACCCAGCAAAGCTTTCATTTAGAATAGAAAAGCAGATACAGTGATTCCTGGATAAGGTCAAGTTAAAGGAGTTCATCATCATCCAGCCCTTATTTCATGAGGGTAATGTAAAAGGACTTTATTAAATCCCTTTAATAAAAGGGACTTATCTAAGAAAAAGATATGAACAGTAAAATGACAACAAACTCACACCTATTAACAACCAAACCTAAACAAACAAACAAACAAACTAAGCAAATAACTAGAACAGGAACAGACTCACAGAAATGGAGATCGCATGGAGGGTTATCATCAGGGGAGTATGACGGGGAGAGGGGGAAAAGGTACAAAGAATAAGTAGCATAAATGGTAGGTAGAAAATAGGGGGAAACAGTATAGGAAATGTAGAAGCCAAAGAACTTAAATGTATGACCCATGGACATGAACTAAGCGGGGGGAATGCAGGGCAGAGGGGAATAAAGGATAGAAAATGAAGAACTGTAATAGCATAATCAATAAAATATATATATATTTTAAAAGTCTTCATCTTGCATCATTGTTATAGGTCAGCAAAGATTTAGCGTGGAGTATATAACTAAATCTGTATATAGAAAGAAAAAAGCTCTGCTATTGTAAAATTAATGAAAACTTAGATATTTGTGTAGTGCTTAACAATTTACAAAGAGGATTCATATATACACACATATATATGATGCATTTAAACATATATTATATTTACATATATTACATATTTTATAAAGCACATATGATATGCAGTAGGCATTATTATCGACTCCACTGACAATTAAATCAAAGTCCTGAGACACTAAGTGTTTGCAGCTAGAGGTAATAGTTTGAAACTGAACTCAGGTCTCTAAACTCCAAATTCAGATGAACCTTCTGCATCCTTTCATTGGATATTTAAAAGTTGACAAGTTTCTACTTGGAATAATAACAAGCTTGTGGGCACCAGTTACTGTCTTTGCAACCTCCCTCCTAGCAGGGAATGGGTAATAAATTTAACATAATCTCACAAGATACTTTGACATGGGGAGACTGTGGACACATATCTCTAGGTTATCATGTTGGGGTACCTGAGTTTACCTTAGTGGAGAAAATATTTCACCACTAAGTAGCATATGGATGGAGATTCACTCCTAATTCCTTAAAAAGGTTAAAATTATAACAACACGGATCATTGAAATAATGTTACAGCAGTGAAATAAAGGGTGTCCTGCATCCATGCCAATGTGAAAGAGGAGAAAAAGAATTATGTTATTCCTTAACCCACCCAACATCACACTCACTGGTTATTCAGAGCACTAAGTTTAGAGAAGGTGCACACTCGCAGGCTCTGTCTGCTATCTGGCCCGCCCTTGTTCCCCCAAGTCAGCACTGCACACATTAACCATTCCTCACCTCGCCGTCTCCTTCCACTCCATCTCCTGCCCGTCCACAGCCAGCAGCTCATCCAGTTCGGTGAAGAGCTGAGGAGGGGCTGGGCTGTCATCCTCCTCGCCCAGGATGAATCGGATGCGTTCTGCGGCCGGAGAGACTGCAGAAGTGAAAATACTGCGGTTAAACACCGGCTGCACATCCCCGAGGAAAGTGGAGCCCCAAGCTCTTCCTCTGTCCCCAAAGCTGTTGGGTTTCCCTTCCACACTTTCGGTGGACATCTTCCTTGCTTATCCCCAGCCAAAAGACAAAAAGAAATCAAAGCCCTTCCCTATTCCCTTGGTTCTAAACTGTATCTCAGCTCTCCACTACTGTCCAGCAGGGCAGCACTCCATTTCTTTGTGGTGTGTGACAAGGAACTTTCAGCCCTCAGATGAGCTGAGGTCCAACCTCATGACCTTCCCACCTTCCCCACTTATGGCCCACCCAAAACTATTAGACAGAGACCAGCCTGATCCAATCATTTCTTCTACAACAGTGGGAAGGGCGACAGAGCGCCCCAATCCTGAGTTTCTCCCAGGTGCCCGCCTCCTACCTACCCTCCCTCTATCCAATGTCTAATGCCTATACCCTCAAAGGCTCCTCACTGCTCGGAACTGGCTAACTGCAAAGCCGATGAATGAATATTTAACAAGATGGGGCCTCTTCTTTACACAATGGCAGTACCCAAAAATGTTTAGTCACACTTCAATGCATTTGAAAAACAAGCCCAAGTAAAACATTGTATACCTGAGGGGGGAAAATTCCAACATGCTCAAGCACATAATTAAACACTCTACTAGCTCCTTTTGACCCCGTCTTCTGAGAAAATATAATGTAATGAAAAATTAACTAGCATGTCCTCCAAGTCACAAATTACTTTTCTCTTCTTCTTCTTTTTTAAAGACTAGCATTTAGAAACTGATGGTCACCCTGATCAGTGTGGTTCACTGTGTTGGGCACTGTCCCACAAAGCGAAAGTTTGACAGTTCGATTCCCTCTCAGGGCACATGCCTGGGTTGCAGGTCAGTCCCCGGATGGGGCTCATGTGAGAAGCACCTGATCAATGTTTCTCTCCCTCTTTTTCTCCTTCCCTTCCCCTCTCTCTAAAAATAAAAACCTAAAACTTTATTTAAAATTAAAAAGAAAGTAAACTGATGGTCATGTTATAAAACTAAAGCCCACAGATACTTTTTGCAATACCTAGGTAAAACTAAGAATGGTATATACATATGAATGCAGTTCAAGTAGAAAGATATATATACATATATGTGTGTCTACATACAGATAAATATGTAGCAATATATGTATTCAAACAACCTAAAAAAAAGGAAAGTGCCTACCACCTGAAAACTATTCATATAGGACAAGAATAAAATTCCATAGATCAAATATATTTACTACAAATAAACCCATAAAAATATTCAACCTAACTAGTAATCAATAGTAATCATTAAAATTAGTTACATGTTTTACCTATTAAAATGGCAAAAATTTAAAAGAATGATAATGCCTAACATCAGCAATGTTTAGGAAATTTGTCACTGATAGAAGCCTAATAGGGAACATCACTCTCTGAAGGGAAATTGAAAAGGATATGAAATTGTTTTAAAAGTATATGTGTCCAGTGAGCTAGTAACTCTATTACTATAAAGACATTCAATGAGTCGTTATCTCAAAGGCTCAGCTACAGAGGTGACCACTACAGCACTGTTTATAACTGAGAACAATAGAAAAAGTCAAAATGTCCCCCCAAAAAGGACTGGTTAAATAAACTATAGTACACTGTTCAATAAAATACCATGTAGTCATAAAACATGAAGTCAAGGTTATTGTTTTTTGCTGCATATGTCACATAATTTTAAATAAATAAAACTGCAAATTCATATACATAAAGTGATTCTGCTTTAGGAAAGAAAAATATACATATTCACATCAAACAGCCTGGTATTATGGAGATCCTCACTTTGCATGGTGCCAATGTGTGTAAATTTCAATTACCACAGTTTAGTTAAATAACACTAGTCCCCTAACAACACAGTAAAAATTTTAGTTAGCATGGTTTATGAACTGTGAAGTAACTGCATGAAGTACAAAATACAAACTTCGCTGCTACCTCTTCGGCATCTTTCAAAGTCTGACAGTGATTGGTTACCATACATTTGTCATCCAGTTCACATACAGACACCAAAGTGTGTGGTTGCATTGCCTTCTTACCGCCCAATGACAAATTCATGCAGTGTGGATACTCAAAAGAGGAAGACAGCCAACAAAGATGAAAGCACAGCACAGAAACAAAATGTGATGCACTGGTAGTGAAATCTGTAGTCAATTGTACATGGAGTTATAGAAGATCCAGCTGATCGTGGAAATGTAGACAATGCCGCCTTTGGCCATTTGAGAGACTCTAGATATTTAGTGGAGGAACTTAGTGAAGGTATACTGGTCAACATAAACAAGGAAAGTAGTGGTTAGAAAATGATTATGATGTCTCGAAAGGGAGGAGGTGAAGCTGGCAAAAGAAAAAAAAAACCTTCACATTAAAGGATCTCAGAGACATTTCCTGACACAGAAAGCACAAAGGATAAAATGTTAGAAGCTGCTCTAAATTAGAGAGGCATATGACAATTTGGGTGCAGAAAAGATGCTCATTCCATTTCATTTGTTGTATGATAGCAAGGAAGCAAACACTATTTAAACTACTTCTGAGGAGGTTTTACAAAGGAATCAACCCCTTTAATCCTAATGTTTCTAATGTTTTTTAAAAATTGCATGTACTGCACTGTTGATGGGATTGCATACTGGTACAACCACTATAGAAAACAGAATGGAATTTTCTCAGAAAACTAAAAATGGATCTGCCTTTTGACCCAGCAATTCCACTGCTAGGATTATACCCTAAGAACCCTGAATCACCAATCCAAAAGAACCTATGCAACCCAATGTTCACAGCAGCACAATTTGCAATAGCGAAGTGCTGGAAGCAACCTAGGTGCCCATCAGTAAATGAATGGATCCAAAAACTATGGTACATTTACACAATGGAATTCTCTGCAGCAGAAAGAAAGAAGGAGCTCCTACCCTTTGGGACAGCATGGATGGAACTGGAATGCATTATGCTAAGCGACATAAGCCAGGTGGTAAAAGACAAATACCATATGATCTCAGCTTTAACAGGAACCTAAACAACAAAACAAACAAATAAGCAAAATATAACCAAAGACACTGAAATAGAGAACAGGCTGACAGTGACCAGAGGGGAGAGGGGAGGGAATTTCAGGGGAAAAGGGGAAGGGTTTACAGGAACAAGTATAAAGGACACATGGACAACAACTAAGGCGGGTGGAAATGGGAGGAAGGTGGGGAGGGCTGAGTGGTCGGGCTGCGATGGGAGTAAAACACAGAAAACTGTACTTGAACAACAAATAAAATTTTAAAAAGTAAAAAAATATTTAAAAAACTGCATGTACTAAATAAACATTAGTTTCACTACTTTTTAAATTTCCCTATAGCCAACAACAAGTGTTAAATAATTCAGTAAAAAATTTAAAGTCGAAGAACAATAGTAACCTTTCCCACTGATCATGTGTTAGGTACTGCATAACTTCAGCTCACATAGTAATTTTTATGGTCCTTCAAAAGCAAGAACTGCCTATATAATCTTTTTTAAAACATTTATTTACTGATTTGAGACAGAGGAAAGGGGAGAGAAAGAGAGGGAGAAAGGGAGGGGAAGAGAATGAGGGGGAAGAGAGGGAGAGACAAAGGAAGAGAGGGAGAGAGAAGCATTGATTTGTTGTTCCACTTACTTACACATTCAGTGGTTGATACTTGTATGTGCCCTGACTGAGAATCGAACCCTCAACCTTGGTATAGTGAGACAATGCTGTAACTGACCGAGCTACCTGGCTAGGTAGATATCTTTCAAATGTTTATTTTTAGGGCTTCCATTTTCTCCCTTTCATTTTCCTAACAGTTCTGAAGTGGGCACAATTCATTCACATATTCACTCAGCAATAGTTACTGAGGACTCTGTGCTCTAGTGGACTTTGCTTCAGGGTCTGTAGATAAAGTGAAGAGCTAGACAAAAAGATCCCTGTTATCGAGTTTATATGAGGGGAAACAAGCATCAATTAATTAATTGATTAAATTAAACAGTATACAAAAAATCTATGAACTATGTTTGCAAATCATTAAAATAAGGTCATTGAATACATAGTATTCCAGGACATAATATGTTTTACTTATGTAATTAGGAAAAAAGGGCTTTGAAATTTTTCAACATCTCCAGGAGAAAAATATCTAAAATAAAGTTCCAGAACTTTGTGCAAAAACATTTGCAGTGCAGTTTCAGTCAAGAAATAGGACGTGTGATTATCTTTGAAGATCAGGGACAGCATAAAAAAATTAAGGGGAGAGCTAAAAATGACAGTTTTTAGAATTTGGAATCTGCATAATACTTCTGAAGAGTGTAGTGGAGTTATTGATCACAGTGGTTCTGCAACTGATAATCACAAATTTAACTAACTTTTCATCAACATTAAACATCAAAGACCCCTTAGTTAGAACTAGCTTTTGAAAGGGGAAGTCTATGTTTAGAGATTCAACGTTTTGTCCATTTCTGAAAGATGTGATGTGGGTTTGTCCCCACCTCTAACAGAGAAGAATAAATGTTTCTCCTGCTTAAATAACAGAATTTCCTCCACAGACAGCATATATCTCTGCTCAGCTCTAATCCACAGAGCATCACTCTGAAGTCTGGTGTCCTTGAGTCAGGAAAACACAATTCACCGCTTATCAGACAACAATTCTTCTGTGACATCTGCAACATGGAATGGAAGAAGGGTGAAGCATTACCTCCAAGTCTCCCTCTCTAGGCACCGTGTCTAAGCACCTTTCTTAAGTTGTCTTATTCATTAAATACAGCCTCTGAGCAACCAATAGAACAATCCCTTTGGGACAAAATCCAAAAGCATGTCATAAACTAGTTTACTACTGTAGCAAATTCCTTTCCTAAGCTGTTTCTCCAAGCTTTCCCAGGAACTAGAAGTAGGTAAGAGGCCACAACAATTGTGTTGTAAATATCCACCTATGGGAGGGGCATCCTCTGTGGCCAGCAAA